ATTTCTATCATTATAGAAAGTTCTATTGGAAATGAAATTATAATTTCCTACAAATGTCTAGGAACAATTTGATAGTCTGGAAGTCTGGAAAGCAGTAGGCCAACTAGAATGAGTCAGGATACGTATCATCCATAGGTTGTGATAGAGGAGAGGGAGTGTGTGTGTGTGTGTGTGTGTGTGTGTGTGTGTTGGCAGCAGGGAGAGATGGTGCGCTCCCTATTCAGGAAACTGGGGGATATTGATCCTATTCTCTGAAATAGGAAACGCTAAAGGAGTGGAATTGATTTTATTTTCTAGAGGATGGGGTTAAAGGTGAATTTCTGTTTTATCTATTTTAAGTTTGAGATTGTGAGGGACAATCTAGCGAGATGTACAAAAGACAGTTGGATATAGAAGTTTGGAGGAGTCATTCTCACGTAGCCTAAAGGGAGGTGCATGCATTGTGGATCTCTCTTCGCTCCCCTAAAATAAGTGCCTAGAAGAGAAATTGCTTTTTCAGAGTATGAATATGTGGAGACTTTCCACATTTCTTCGCCCTGTCCCCGAGTGGCCCTTATGATGTGGTGATAAACAGATGTTACTGATGGGTGTGGTCAGAGTTACAGCCCTGCCTTTGTGAAAACGGCCAGGGCCCTCCCGCTGTATTCCAGTGGCTTTGTAAACACCTAAGGTAGTACCCATTTGCGCCCTTATCAGTCCAGGTTCCAGGCAGGAAAACAGAAATTCTCTAAGGAATTTTCAACAGGTAGCAGAACTCTATACAGAGGTGCTGGAAGATCAAAGGGCGGACCGTGCGATTAAATCACACACTCCGGGCTGCAGGACTGGCTCAGTCCTAGAGCTGGGACAACAGAGTGAGGGCGGTATTTCGTCATCAGAGCTCCAGAGCAAACTCACCGCTGGGGGCGCCCCTGACGGGGGAAGGGAAGACAGGCCACCAAGGAGGGGCTGCTGCACCTGGCTCTGGGGCTTTGTAAGGAACACAGCCGTTCCCCAGGATGCCACCTTCTGACCCCCCGCTTGGGCCTCCTCTGGGCAGGTTAGTGGGAGCCACCGGGCCAGGAAGGCTGGGAAATGTAGTCCGCAGACTCCCGGCCCAACCATCACCACGGAGCAGAGTATCCGTGAATATGGGGCTCAGAAACCACAGGCAAATAACCTGCACTTGGTTAGGGGTACAAACTTTTCCGCCTTTAGCTGTTAATGAAGAAAATGGACTCATTTGGTCTTCGATCTTTTATGAACTTGGCAGACTCCAGGCAGGGTCTATCACCATGACTACCATATAAAATGCTCAATAAGGCCCGGCTGGTGTGGCTCCGTGGTTGAGTGTCGACCTATGAACCAGGTCACGGTTTGATTCCCGGTCAAGAGCACATGCCTGGACTGCAGACTCGAGGTCCCCAGTGGAGGGCGTGCAGGAGGCAGCCGGTCCACGATTCTCTCTTATCACTGATGTTTCTAGCTCTCTCTAGCTCTCCCTTCTTCCCTGAAATCAATACAAAAATATATTTTTAAAAATAAAGTGCTCAATAAATATCACTAAACATTTGAGCAAACAAATGCCTATCTATTCCCATCATTGGTAAATAGTTCAAATCACTACTCAAATTACATGATGGGCAGGTCAAGCTATTTTTTAAAGAACACTTTAACTCCTACGTACAATTTAGTATTTTCCATTACAGCTGGGATTGTGCGTCTGGACAACTGTCGACAGTTCGGCTCAAACAAACTCGCAAAAATTTTTCACCGGTTTGAGCGTTTCTTGCGTTGCCTACGGGAGGCAACATAATGTCAGTCCACTCCTGACACTGAGTTCGCAATGGGAGTGGACGAGACGGGTAGTAGCCTTCCAGCGGAGAGGGGAGCACCCCGCTTCCTGCCCCCCAGACCCAGGTGTGCAGGGGCCGTTTCCACGCCCGGGGTTATTCCCACTAAGACAACTGCACACGCACAACAAGCGGCCCCCGGGCCGTGGTGCTGCCACCCGCCCGATCCCCTGAAGGGAAGAACCACCGGACTTCTCCGGGCTGCTCTGGCGCCGCCCGCTGCCGGGGCAACGGCAAGAAATGATGCGACTCCAAGACAACCAAGCGCAGCCACGGCGCATGCGCCAGGCGCGGTCACGGTTCCCATCCTCCAGGCAGAGTGGCAGGCACCGTGCACCCCCTCACCCCCCAGGTGCTTCCCAGCCACGGCCACTCAGGAACGACGGCGCCCCCCGAGGTGACCCCTAGCCACGGCCACTCAGGAACGACAGCGCCCCCAGGAGGCGCCTCCCAGCCACGGCCACTCAGGAACGACGGCGCCGGGCTCCAACCTGCCGTCGGGCTCCAGGTGGTGCTTTCGGGAAGAAACTGATACCTGGCAACTTTTTAAAACGGAATTAACGGAAAGGGGAACGAAGAGAGCGGTGCACACCTGGGAAGCGGGGCTGACACACCAAAGGTGTCCGACGTCCCGGGAGACGCGGCAGCGACAGAGCCGCCCACACGACTCCCGCGCCGGGGCTTCGGGGGGCGGGCACTGAGGCCCCGCCCACGCCACGGCTGCTCTCATTGGGCCCCTTCCCTTGGCGTCAAACTGCAGCGTCTGGAAGGAGGCGGGACTTCCTGGATGGAGAGCCAATTCCGGCCGCGCCGGAAGTGCCCATTGAAGAAAGAATGAAAGGTGCCCGCCACCTGGCGCTCCAGGCAGGTCTAGTGTTCCGCGGGCTCGGGAGACAAGTTGGGCAGAGATTCCTCCGCTAACCGCCGAGTTCCGGGAGAGCGGGAAGCGAGAGTCCGGACATGGACAGCCGCCTGCAAGAGATCCGCGAGCGGCAGAAGCT